TAATGTTTCAGTGTCTTTAATAAGGAGCATTTTATGTGTTACATGGAGTACTTGCCCTAATAAAATACCTGGTCTAGTGAAAGGTGTGGCGAGGGTAGGAATGAGGTGATCATGAGGTGATCATGAAGGTCCCTTCCGACCCAAATCATTCTATGATTACAGGAAAATGTTGTCATTTACCAATATAGTTGTTCTCTGTGCTTATGTGACAGAATATTTGAATCACTACATGAGTTTAAGTAATTTTTAAGTATATGTAAATTCAATATAGTACATACATGCATAGGTACAAATGAAGGCTCTAGGGCAGAGAGACATATTTACCACAGCTGCCTGGTCAAAGTGAGAACAGTAATCTTCATCTGTAAATAAGAAATCAGTGGGAAAAACCTGTTCTTCCCAGTGTGTGTGTTGGTCACTGCAGCCCTTCTGCAGGTGTGATTCTCTCTGACCCCTTCAGAGGACAATAAGTGGGAACTTTCTCAAGGCTCCAATTATTTCCATCTGGCAAAGGAAGGATGCACTTGACACAGGTGTCTACTGGCCTTTTCAACTCTAAATGGCCAATCTCCAACTGGCTCAGCGGTGGGACTATTCAGAGAGGAAGGGGAAACATCCCTGTGTGCACACTTCCTTTCAGAGCAAATCTTCATGCCATGAAGAACCTGTTTGATGTATTTCAACATGCTTTGGATTGAATTATTTATCTAGAGAAAAAGTTTGATGGAGATATTTGCTGCCCATTTTTTCTTATACAACCTTGAAGAGTTTGTGGTGTGCTCTAGACTCTGAAATCAGGAGTCCCAGAGCAATGCCCTCTGTTTTTTAATTTTCAACTGAAAAGAACCCAGCATGCTCTAGCTTTGCTTCTCGGGTTTTGCCTTTTCATTTATTTTTTTCCTAACAGGGACAAGCCTTAAGCACAGGTGGCTGCTGTGGTTCTTTATTTCTGCTGATAGCTATTGACCTGCCAACTGGCTATTCTCTTGGTAATTGTAAACAGGTTCCTAATGGTTAAACTTCCTTCCATTTAAATTCTGTAGTCCAAAAATAATCTAGTATTTTATTAACCAGGGAACGTATTATTAAACACATACATCATTCTTACCAGACTTTACCTCTGTAAACCTAAGTAGTTTTAGGACAATGTTTGAGGGATTTTTGGTGTTTTATTGTTTGTTTTGTTTTGTTTTGTTTTGTTTTCTTTTAAAAGTTTTAGGATAGGCCTCCAAGCAGTTGAAATTAAAAAGTGAATTGAGTGATTTGTATGTAAGTAGAAGGCCTGGGAGCCAGAAGCTATGCACAGTTTTGACAGTGTGTTTGAAACAACATGAGAAAGAGTATCTGACAAGTAGCAGACTCCTTGCTGGTTATGATAGACTCAGAAGTCAATAGCTGATTTCAAGGAGTATATTTCTCTGGATTATCTTGGTTTAAATGAGCTATGACACCTAGATTTTTTTTTTTATTTTTGCTATTTACATAACTTGTTTGAATTATAAAAATCCGTTATGCTTTCTCAGCCATCAAAAGAAAGGCAAGACCTTTCTGGCATCAGCTGGATGACCCCTTGAGTTAGCTGATTATGAAAATATCAGAGCTTTCATATGTTAATGTGATCTGGGCAAGAGCCCTTCTGCTACAGCCGAACCATATGGAGTTTATATCTCAGTCGGGACGTGGGGAAACGCTGTTATTTACTGCAGGACATGGTAACTTGCTCCTGGACTCTCTGAATCCCTGTGAATGAGTGCTGATGCTGGGGGAGCTGCTGACAGGCTGCTATCACAGGCTCGGCCGCGCTACGACGCAGCAGGCTCTGCTCAGGCTCTTGCACACGCTGCTCTGCCAGAGGACTTCAGCCTTCACCCACAGCATCCTTGTTTTTCCATTACTAAGATTTTCCTGAACACGCAGAGCCAAAGACACATATTAACTCGTGCCTGCATGCCAGCAGGCACAGCGTGTCTCTGTGACCAGGAAACGCGCTCGTTGTTCAACAACGGGTGGAGTTACCCGCGTTTGCCGTTCACCTGAGTTCATCTGAGCCGCCTTGGTTAATGTCATTTAGGTCACCTCATTTGTTATGTAAGTGAACTGCAGCCGGGCCAGCGTGTCGAAATTTCCTTTTCCCACAATGATGGGAAAGCACAGCTTTACTTTTCCTCTCGTCGCCTCAGTTGGATGTCACTTGGGTATGGTCCTGTCCTATTGTGCTCTTCTAGAAAGGTCTGTGGGTTCAGCATCGATGATGCAACTCATCTGGGCATCCCTTTGCATGGCTAAAAATCAGTGTGTTACTACAATCAGTAGCTTTTACCACTGGCATGGCTGCTGCTTCTCTTCAGTGAAAGTGTAATTTCTTTTTTTTTCTTTTTTTTCCAGGTATGTCCCTACTCTACCTTGAAGGATGTGTATTTTTCTACCTTTCTACCTAACCAACAACAAAAAAAAAAAAATCAGTATGGGATTTTCTGGATTTCTCAGTTCTTGAAACAACCTGTGGCCACAAATGAGTAGTCTCAGTGGAGGAGAAGGCAGAAGGCTCAAGAGAAGGTAGTGAACTAAATGGCATTGAAGACACTATGGTCTGGGCCAAATTATGATAGTGTCATTTTTTTATTTATTTGGTAATTTTTAATGACAAAAGACTGTTTATTCTAAAATATTTCCTTATTTTTCTGAATAATTGTGATATGTTTGAGCATTTTCTTTGTTTTTCTTCAAGAGGTGTTTTTGAAAATCCAAATTCTTTAGTCATTTGTGACATATATCCCCCCTCAATCCGTATAAAATTTTAAAATTGCATAGTATAAATACAAACTTTTCAGGCCACATAAACTTTTCTTGTGAATGACGAAGGCCAAACCCAATGGGGAGAAGTAGAAAAGAGAGAAAACGTGGGAATAATTGGTACAGGAGTGGGAGAGCAGTGCCAGAGAAGGGACTAGTACAGAAACCTTTTCCTTGCCACCCACCCCTGTAGCAGGGCTCTTCCTCCCGGAGCCATCCATCACCAGAACGCTGTTTTTCACTGCTTCTTCTGCAGGGATCATGCTGGCAGGGTCCCTCACAGCTGAGTTGAGCAAAGTAAGTGCAGTGTTGAGTTGCTTGGCTTCCACCTTAGAACTCAGTGTGGGATTTGGGAGCTCTGTGGGGCACCCGGTGCTGCTCGTTAGCCCGTCCTCACATCTCAGCAGCAGCCTGGCCAAACCTCTGCTCTTCATGCCTCTGCTCTGCCCCGACACCACAGGCACAAATAATTTTGGATAAGACTGCACTGAAGTTTGATTTAATAAATCCCTCTAATAAGTGCAACAAAGGGACAGGAAAGATCCCTTTGGTGGCTGAACCAGCTTAAATGAGCAGAATGCTTTCTAATTAACAATCCAGTGGGTTCACTTCTCATGCTTGGCTTTGTAAAAGAGCAAAGTGAAAAATACTCAAAAAGCATTCAAAGACATCTTTGTTTTAAAGGAGTAAGGAAATGCTGCTCTATCCACTGACCACCACCACGGATCATAAGGCCATGCAGCTGTAGGTCACTCTCACAAAATGGTTGCCAATATTTCCTCAGCAAACCCTCTATCGATTGCATAAATACAGTACAGTACCCATGAGGTAGTGTTGACCTGTCACATAGTAAAGATGTGGCAAGCCCCATAATTCATTACCAGTTGGAAATAGAACATCATTGGAGAGATAAGGATAACAATGACTTTCCATCCAATGATAAATTACTAGCAGCTGCATTATTTTCCCTCACTTATATATGGCTCTCTTTATTGAATTTAGCTTGAGATAAATAAATGATCTGCCAGGAGCCTGGTTAATATTACTTCTCTGGGACCCATTTCAGGCCCAACTAGGCTTTTGCTGATAATATCTTTAAGCTTTTCAGTAGGGAGAGACATAACATTTGTTTCTGACAAGAACCCTATGTCGCCTTATCTGTTTCATTTGAGAGGCCGTCGACCTCAGCTTCTTTAGTTAAAATGAGAGCTTTACTGTAGAGACTAAGTTCTTGAACTTGACTCTCTTCTTACAATGAGATTATATGTCCTGGTTGTAAATTTGAAGCCACACATGATATACAGTTATTCTTAGCATTTCCTGTTGATCACAGGGTGGTATTGATTGCCCCTGCTTTTGAATCTCTCTCTGGTTTGTTTGAAAAGGAGTTCCATCTTTTTTTGTGTTATTATTTTTCATACCACAATAATCTGTGAGCTTGTTGATGCACACTCATATTTAACTTCATGCATTTGTTCCACTTGAAAATGACTGGTTTTTTCACAACCTCTCCCTCCTCCTTCTGCTTTAGAAAAGAAGGCTTAACAAACGTATCCACTTGATTAAAAATAAAAAAAGTCAGTTTAAGAGCAAAAGATTAACTCTTTCTGTGAACTAAGATGCCAAAGAAGGCACTTGAACTCCCAAAATTCTTTTTCTTACCATTAATAATTGAGGTACTGCTTCAGTGATCCAGGCTTTGCAGGTACTGTGTGAAGAGTGCGAGCAGGGAGGGGATGGAGTGGATGTGTGAGGGAGCAGGCATGAACAGCCTGTGCTTCACTCGTACAGTAACTGTTTGGATACCTCCATTGTGGTATTTTTGTTATTTCTGGGAAGCCCTATCATCAGGTTTTAGATTAAAATCAGACAGTTGCCATTTTTCATACAGCGTGAATTAGAGGAAATTAAACCCAACCACTTCTGATAAATCCTCTCATAAATAAACTGGCTGGTGGTGTTAAATGAAAGTCCAGCCACAGTTTGATTCACATTGCAGAGAACAAAGAACGAGTTCTGCCTATTTTAACACTCCATCATTATTATTGTTATTTATACTATAGGAATGCCTAAAGGCTCCAGCTGAGTTTGGAGCCCCCATCTGCTAAGTGCATAATCAGGCTTGCCTGGAAGAGTTTGCACTAGGAATAAGATAGGAAAAAAAAAAGGGAAAGAACTATTATATGTTTCTGTGCCTTTTACTTTACAGTTGGGAAACTGAGGCACAAAGAAGGAAAGCAGTCTGCCCAAGGCAGTGAGGAAAATCTTCGGCAAGGTTGGCAACTTCCAAAAGATCATCTGAGTTACTGCCAAATCTCTTGATGTAAGATCCTTTCCTACAGTCTTTTTGGGGGGTCACCTGTCTCCTTTATGCTTTCCCACTAGGCAAAAGTTAGAAGATAAAATGGGAATATGACAATAAATCTCTTTTATCTGATGCTGGAAGAATTTGCGGTTAGGAAAAGAGGCACACCCTGAATAGCATCTTGCATAGATTTGTGTAAAAGAAGATATAATCTGGGTGCATTTTAATTTTAATTTGAACAATGCCTTGTCTTGAAATGAAATAACGAAAATTTGCCTTTTTATATAATAGGAGTAGTTTTGGCATGTACTGGCTATTTCCCATGTCACATCAGAAGATTAAAAAAATCTTGCACAATGCTACTAAAAGGCAGAAAGGTTAATATGTATTAAATCAGAAAAATAGGATAGCCATGTGACACTCAATCTGTGTCAACCAGAACCAGTTCTTGTTTACCTTGAGAGGCTGACAGAATCTTCTCACCAATAATTATTTGCCAAACTCTTCAGAAATTAATTTCCCTTACAATCACTAACACAGGCAGCAGGGGAAGGAAAAAAAAAAAAAGGATGGTGGATATGAAATAAATTATTTGCTGCCAAAGAGTGAGAATGCATTTTCCATTTCTCCTGCTCTGCCATTCTAACGTTTCCCTGAGAACCCGGAAAGTATCAGGATGAGATTCACACACACACAAAGCCAAATTAAAGTGGCTTCATGCAGAGCTTTCCACAGAAGAATGAATTGACTCCTGTGCCCTCTTGTACACACGACGTGTGAGCAGAGGGAGGGGAGGAGGACTGCAGCAGGACACTGGAGTTGTAGTAGTCCCCAGAGCAAGCTGGGACAACAGTACCAGGGGGTTCTGACTACAGGTTCCAGTAGCTTTTTCATCAGGTTACTTATCTCACCAGATACTCTGTGTGGTGATCTGTTTGGGCCTGGGGATGTGTGGATTGCTTCTTGGAGGGGTGAAGTCATCAGACTCCCTCAGTTCTGTCCAGACCATGTCATTGCAGGAGGAAAGGGCGGTACATATCACTGGAAAAGTTACTCTAGGGAATCATTCTTATTAAGATCCATGTGCAGTGGTGAGTAGATCCAGTGAGCTCTTCTCTGTGAGCCTTGGAAAATGACTTGACCAACACATGGGGAGACTCAACTGGGAATAAACCCCTTTTAGATTTGCTTACTAGAAAACCCTTCCTTGTTAAGAAGTGACTGCTTTTTCCTGCAGTATGGGCAGTGCCTCTGTATTACCAGCTATGTGGTGTTCATCTGTTGCCTTGCTGTTTCCACAGAATTAGTTTTCCTTCTTTTTTTTTTCTACACAAGCCATGTCTGTAATAGTTTCTTTGTCTACTGTGAAGCTACCAGAGAGTTTAATCTTCAGCGAGGCGCTGAGAGGTTTTACAGCATCGCTGTCAGTACATCTTTGACAAGGATCTTTTGCAAACTTTGGCAGAGGAAGTTTAGCTTCTGTATCTACCTCTAAATCTAGTTGGGTTCAGCTGAACCACAGACTCCTTGTCTTTTGATGCTTAGTCAGCCTCCACTCTGACCACCTGTGTGCAGGAACACTGCAGTGACTTCCCTGCTAGTCGTCAGATGCCATCTTTGCAGGCAATTAGACCCACCTTTGGTGATGATTATTATCCCTCCCTCTGGATCACCACCTTTACAGACAGTTTACAGTAACAGATCACACCAGTGCTCCGTGGCTCACATCAGTGTCGGGTGTGCAGATTTAACCTGTCTTCTTCAGGGGTGGTTCAAGAGTGGTGTGGTGTTAGTCACTCGGAGTGTTATTCACAGGGACCTGGGCCAAGGCCAACAACTCAATTCACGTTATTGGCTGGGCAAGAAAAATGCCGCTGGTGCTGACCTTGTCATAAATCCACAGCCCCTGTCCCCATGCCACCAGCTCTCCAGACCAGCCTTTTCAAGACTGATCGTATCTGCATTCTGGTTGCCAAAATTGTTTGGGCTTTTTTGTTATTTCAACTCTGTGGTCTCAGAGGAGCAAAATTCCTCAATGATTTTGCTTTCTCATCAGCCAAAGGCGCCACTCTGTGCTGTGTGCCAGCAAGGCTGGAGAACAAGGCTGTCTTTAAATGAAAAAGCCCTGCCTTTTCCTCCTCACATTTGTACAAGTTAAACGTGACTTCTTACTTCTGTCATTCATCCTATTAAGAAAACCCCAGACTGCCAAGTGTAACCTCATTTGCCAGTTTCCAGGGGATGGCAGGCATTTGTACCTGAATCATAAAGCCTGAAGGAAGGGCCTTATCTGATGTGGTTCACCAGGCTTAATGGGCTGGTCTGTGCAGCTGCATCACCTTGGGTAAGAACTTCAACAGAGCCTCTTAAAAATAGCCTGCTTGATGTTACATGCATTGTGCCGAAGGACACGGGTGTTTATATTTACGGAGTTGGTACTTGACTGCTTTAAGTGGTTCTTTGGTGGTAGGATCTAATTGAGCAGTATTCTATACTGGGTTTGATTCAGTTTGAAATTCCAGCTCTGCAGCAAGATTTTGGATCAAATGTGGTTTTGACCATTTATCCTCCTCTCTCGGCCTCCCTTGTAGGATGGAGGTGCATTGATGTGTTGATGATGTAAGACTGAAGGAAGGCTTTCTTTGCTTGTAGCCTATTACTGCTGAACCAGTTGTTCTGATGATTTACCCAGAAAGCCCTAACTGTCCTTATAAATGTAAAATTTTCTTTTTTTTTTTTTTATTCTTGAGCAGATGGAAGACTTAGATGGAAAGGAATAAAAACATAATTTGCCAAAGCCCTCAATTAATCATAATCAAGTTTGTGCATGTTATACTCTACAAGGGTAACAACAATGAAACACAAGGAGAAAAGGATGCTTTCCTCAGGCAATTCTGGAGACATAAAAGCAATAAAGAAGCATACTTCAGAATAATGTGGAGATATATGACTGCACTAAATAAAAATGCTTCTTTAACGTACTGTAAAAATAAAGATGTTTAGTTAGATTTATCATTCATGTTACAAACACAAATTGATCCCCTGGACTACGCCACTGGCTCTGAAAGTATCCAAGGGATGGTTGTGACCCACTATTTTCTGGAATTACTTAAACGTTGTTTCATTTGTTAAGGAGCTAACTAGATTATTCCTTTTTACTCTGAGGTAATAAATATGGGGCACCTTGATCACACAGGTATGGCTTTTTGACTTCTACACTATATTTAGGCCATCTTTTTGTTGGGTATAGTGAGAGGGGCTTGCTTGTTAATTTCCATGAGGTCTCAACTGGACCTGTGAAAAGACATTTTTTAAACTGGTTTTACAAATAGCAATATGTTAATTGAAAGCAACCCCACTCCCCAAATCCGCTCCTGACTGACTTGAGAACATTCAAAACCAGTGAGATTCATTTCTGCAGCCTCATTCAACCATTGCAATGAGCAAATGAAACAATTGTTTTATTTGTAAGAGGAGATTATCCCTTGAAGGCAGATAGGAGGATACTGCCTACAGAACCCCATTTGCAGGCACAAAGAGCGCTTAGTCAATTTTTGGCAGTGATACTGAAGCTATTAGTTTTGGATATGAGTTCACTGATGCTCAGTGCTGTACATTTCCAGTTAGTTCATGAAGGGCCTTTAAAATTACACACAGAGCTTCATTAATTGCCTCAGAAAAGAAGCAACAAATATCAGGCCCTTAAAGTGTGTGTGCACAGAATGGCCATTGATTTCAGTGAATATTCCCCACTGGAGAACTGATCCTATGTCCTGGGAAGGCAATCACAGTTTTTACAGTAGTTGCATCAGGCATTGCCCCAAAGTGCAAGGGCTTTAGAGGATCAGGCCCCAGTAGCTGCTATCTGGTATCTGTCTGTCTAATTTACCTGTATATGTGGTTTGTATACATGCATATATATAACCCCAATGTTAAAAGTGTAACTCTGATTGTTTTAACTCAAGTTGGAGACCTGAGACAAGATGCCAAAGTCAGGGTCTTTCGAAAGAAAGAAATAGAAATCCAGCTCTGTGGTCTTGAAGGGTTTTTTGTGTGTCCGTTATTCCATTTGATAGAGTAGTGCCTGAACATTTGTTCTACAACCAGCTATCCATAAAGGAGAATTTCCTATGCCTGCCTTGCAAATGGCACAACCTCATGCGATCCCTGATCACAACAAATTGATTTATTTAAATAAAAATAATGATCTTCTTTCCTTTCGCCAGCCCCAGCAGCAAAATCCCATGTAACCCTGATCAGCAAATTGATAGTTATCTTCTTTTGCCCTCCTTTCTCAAATCCAAACAATACCACCCTGATCCCCGAGTAATAAGAAAATGATTTATGCAAACAAAAATAATTATCTTTCTTTGCTCTCCACCCTCTGACTGTATAATCTCAGCAGCTCCTTGTTTAACAAATTGATTTATTTAAATTAAACAAATGGTGATCTCTTTCTGACCTCTGTGGAGCACTTCTGTGGCAAACTCCTACCACTGCCACCACCTTAGAAGGATGTATTTTAAAATATAACAGCACTTTAAACTAACCTTGATACTTTGTGATTCCTTTAATCAAACCTCATGGACCCTCTGCTTCTGTGCAATGAAATTAGGACGTGTGTCATCTGAAAAATAAGAAAGGTAGCTTAAATGTACCTTCCTCCATATTTTTTATGGCAGAGATGGTTATTTGTTTAATTTCCCGGGAGAAACTGTACAAAGGGTGGCTGTGTATGGTTCGTCTACACCCACCTCTCCCACAAGGTTCTTTGCAGACAGACTTTAGAGCACTGTCAAACTCAGTGCACAGATATGTGTGAGGCCACCTCCCCTAAAACACTGACATCTAGTGCCAGCCTGCTCTGTGACAGACACCAGCAACAGCTGATGGATGAGAGCAGGAGCTCCAAGGGCTTCATCCCCTGTGTTTTACGGTTCTGTCAAACCACAGTTTGTGTTGCAAGGGCTCAGCTTCTCACTGGCAAAACCTTCCTAGGCACGAGGAGAGGCAGAGCCCTGCTTGCCAACGGTTCCAGTGACATGAACTTTTTGTTCCACATTCAGTAGCCCTGAAGGTATATAAATACATATAGATGTATATGTTTGTGTGCATTTTTTACTGTGCTGGTTTTGTTTAAGTTTGTGTTTTCTGTGCTGTCCAGCCAGTATCTCTGATTTGTGCAGCTGCTACTTAAACAGTCATTTTGGCATTATACAGAATTACATAATTATATGTGCCATAAGCAAAAGTGCAAATAGTCCCACTTAACACCTAATCATGTGATATCTGTTGTGAAATGCTGGCAAAGTAGCCAGTAGATATGACTGTTACTTTGCTATTAGCTCTGGTTCTTTGGAGGCGAGTACGGACTGCAGCTGGAATTTGGCACAGATGGAAGAGGGATTAAGTGATAGTGGGAGCCTGAGCCTATTGTGTACAGAAACATTCTTTCCTCGACCACTTTCTGTGGTGTATAATACTCTGAGCAGGACATTGGTGTTAACCAGTCTCCCAGATTTGGAAATACTTTGCTTTTTTAGCAGTTTGTTCACACCATGTGTCTGCTTTGGTTTCAGACCCGCAGTGCTCTCCGACAGAAGACAGTGACATGACAGGAATGGTGACACAAGGCTCTTACTGTTACATTCAATAATTGATTCTTCTGGATGGATTGTGACTCCCTAAAGGTTGCAAAGAGAGGTAAGAATGATTGGACAGCTTCAGAAACATTGGTTTCTTCCAAAGTCAGGAAGTTTTCACTCCCTTGAATCCTTCCCCTTCACGGTCTAGCACTCTTTGTGCCTCTTTGGAAATGCATGGGAAAAATCATTAAGAGAGATTGTTTTTATTAACCAATCATTTTCTTCTTTCTTTTTCCAGTAATTTTAAGTGGGTTTGGTAATGCTGAACGCTGAATTGGGAATCACCATATGAAAAACCTGATTGTGTCTATTTTTATGATTGCCACAAACTCCCCATAGGAAATCCAGATAAAAGGGAAAACATTGCAAAAACTGGTCAAGTTACAAAGTAAGAATATGGATACCTCTGAAGCTTTTCAAATCCCACTTTTTTTTTGTTTATTTTAAATATATTTTTTATTCTTCCAAACGCCGAATAGTTTGTTTCAGAATATTCCATTTCAAAATTCAGCCCTTCCCTTACATTTGCATTACCTTTACTCCTGACTTGCACAAGTAAAGTGAGGTGAGACTCAGACTATAAGATTATGCAAAAATGTTCCCTTAAAAAAATAATAACCTTGTTCTGAAATTATACATGGAAGGTTAGAGCTGCAGCCTTTTAAAAAATGCAGCCACTCTCTATTGACTTGCCAGAGAGAGGCAAGTATTTTTGCAGATGGCTTGGAATTAGTAGAACATGAAATAATGTCAGTGGTACTGGTAAGAGGATTAACCAGCAGTTCTGATGTTATTGAACGGTTTGCAGAGACCATATTAAACAGCCACATCAGTCCACAGGTCAGCCCTGCAGTTCTGCTAAGCAAACACAGATGTAGAGTTCCCTTTCATGGCCATCATTTCATGCCTTTGACATATGTTAGGCTCTTGGGACTCAGTGGCATATTTACAGCCTGAACATTAAAGATGCCTTTTTTTTTTTTAGATGATTAGTGGACACCGACATCTAAATCGGTAGTAAAAGGAAAAGCAGGAACCCAGGACAGTGGGGAAGGACTCCAGCAATGCCAACATGTAAGTGAAAGATTGGGCTGCTAGAAAGTTCCCTGATGAAACACTGGAGGGTTCTTCAGTTGATGACAAAAGTTCTCCTTAAGAATCCAGTCGGTTTTAAATCTCTCTTTCTTTTGGGTTGATCTCCTCTTTATTTTGCCAAAGCTGCCTATGAAGTTGCAGTGGTTGAATTTCACAAGGCGAGAGGAGTTCAGCTCGTGTCAGCACTGCCAGGCCTCTGTGCTTGTTCAAAGTTTGTGCAGATCTCCTGGGACTACAGATTGGCCAGAAGAAATTGAGGGAACAGTCTGTTTTACAATATTCCCGTTCCTTTTCTATTCCAACAGAAACTTTGGCAGCTCTTTAACATTTTCCTCAGCTTTTTGTTTTTCTGAAACTAGGAGTCAGAAATTAAGAAAATGAATGGCACAACTATGTGATAAACAGGGTTTTTTTTTAATGCACATAAAATACATACTTATCTGTGTGTAGTGAGGACATGGTGGGACAGGTTCCTCTTTTATCTGAATAGTTTTATGTGTCTCAATCCTGAAAACTTGTGCAGTTTCCAAATAAAGATATAGGTACAGACAAGCTGTACGTCAAGGCAGAGCTCCTGAATGTAAAGGTTGTTGACAAAAAATTTGTGTAAAAAGAAGATAAACCAACTGATAAATTACAGGGCCTTTGCTCAGTAATTGTTTAATATGATGCAAATTTTAAGTGAAATTTCCAGCATTCAACTGCTCCAGGTGTAACCACTTCTTCCTGTGAGAGGAAATAAACCTGCAACCAGAGAGTGTAACAATGAATTACATTCAACCTCCGAAGTGCTTTAGCATGTCTTCAAGAGCTGCTGCTGTCTTCAGTGATGGATTATAAGTTAGCATGAGATCCCACAGGCATGGCAGGGTATTTATGTAGTGTTCTGATTGCTCAGACACCTCCAACAAATGTACAGTCAGTGCAAACAGAAATCAGAGTATCACTGTCTCCCACTTTGTTTCATTTATTTATATTTAGCAAGTTCTGGAATATGACAAACCACTGAGCACAACTATAGTTGGAATATAGTTTCCAAAACTTATTTACAGTAGATTTCAATCACAATGGGTGATGCTATATTAATCCATGAGTAGTTCCATTGATTTCAGGGGGTCCAATCCTTGTACAGCTGAGTATATCTTGATTTGGTCCCGTGTTTAAAATGTAGAAAGAGCACATTTACTGCCATGTTCTTAAATAGATGGAACAGTTTGAAAAAACCCTACTCTGAGCTGAGCCCTCCCCAAAAAGCTGATAACAGTGCAAAATACTGACAAGGCTGATGGGATGCAGGTTTTGCAATATTTTATTGTGATGCAGAAACAGTGATAAAATGTTCTTCAGTTATACATAGATGGATGTGCACTCCATGTGCTGTTTTCAGCTGTGTACTTACACCCGTCCAGAATCCCAAAGAGAAAAGGAAAAGCTGAGATTCACATCAGTAGCAAAGAACATCAGGTGATGTTGATTTAAAGAAAACATTAATCAATCCAGATTTGCTTGGAACCGGGCCCAGGTTCACTCAACAGGTTGGTGAACCTTAGCAAATGTTTCTGTGAATCTGTTCTGTGTTTTGACTTTGTAACGTGATCTGAAATCATCTGAGTTTCATGTGGTTTTGTTGTGCACGTTTTGGAACGCTCGTGGGGCGAATCCAGGGGAAGACAGAGGTGCTAAATTTTGCATGATGCACAAGGTAAGCAGTGTTTCACTCTTCCTGACACCCCCTGATACCAAAGTGAACAACAGTTGATGCTGTCAGCAGAGTTTTGAAAGAGGAGACAATCACTGTCTGTCAGGCTTCTTGTGTCTCCAGTAGTCTTTATTGTGGAGCCAAGAGACAGTCTTCAAATCACATCCTGAAAAACATTATCATGAGTTTTGGACTGTTATTTTCTTTTTCTCTGTGTCTGGTAAATGTCAAAAGTTTTACTGTGTAGGCAGGTGCTGGAGTTGTGAACAGTGTGTTAGGCTTCATGATGTATGTTGGTTTGAAGAAGTTATATAGTGCTAGAAAAAATTAGGTTTTTATACTGAGTTTGCAGATGAAAAACTTGTGTTTTAACTTCATTTGGTTTTTGTATGTGAATTCATAAATAGGTGTACTCAGCCTCCATAGCTGAATATAAAGTATTTAAGATCCATCTACACCAATCAGGTAAAAAAATATGATGAAGTGACAGTTTCTATTAATTTTATTTTTAGTCCAAACTAGAGCCCAGAGCAACAGAGATGTGAGACACTCTGAAACACAAGAAACAAAATCTAATTCATCAGAGAATGCCAAGTTTTTCATTCTGTTTCAGAGCAAGCAGTAGAATTTTGCTGGAGGTTGAGATTTTGGAGAGAAAGGCAGGTGGGAGGAGCTGTTTGTTATTTTTACACTGATTTACTGCCTCATAATTGAGACCCATTTGTGGATCAGTGTTATGACAGGGAGCTTAGAGAAAAGGAGGTCAGTGAGTTTAGCTTAGTGGCCTGGCATATTTACAAGGTCAGACTAGATAATTTAACTGTCTCTCCTGACCTTAAACTTGAGGAAACTGAAGAAGGAAAAATCAAAGTCTGCAGAGGTAATAAGTAAGAAAAAAAAATTGTAACAGGCTGGTGTGTCCTTTAATGCCCCCGAGGTTCAGCATTCCCTAACCCACCAGCTGTCCTGGGGAACAGCCACAAATGGAGTGGCCCTGTCAGTCCATTTGGAAGTACAGCAGGAAGGAAGAACAGTTTGCCAATAACGTTCAGGTTGAAGCTGATATCTTCATTCTCCTCTAGAGTAGTTGTGTTTGCACCCCCTTGTACCACTGCATTTTTCCACTAAGGTTGTCTCACTTATTTAACTCGACACACAGAGCACCCCTCCGAGGTCTTTGAGACCCAAACCAGCATTGGAAGTGACAGCCCAGATAACACAGGTAATCATATCAGACCTTGTGGGACTGCACTGACTACTTTTTAATTGATAATTCCAAGCTTCTGTAATAAATTTATTTCTTAATTATATACATCATGTCATACCTGGTAGCTAATGATTACCACTAGTTTAAGTTTTCAGCCTTCAAGACATCCTCCTCCCTTCCATATAATCATAATTTTCCTTCCAAATTAAGATTTTCTCCGAAAGAAAATGAACAAAACCTGCACATTAAATCCAACTCAGTCCAAATAAAAGAAGGTAAATTTAAGGTGCTAAATTAAGTAAGTGATTTTAATTAGCGGATCATTTCAGGAAGATCATAAAACATTTAAATAACACTGAAGTTATGTATATTTAAGCAGTTTTATGGAGAATTAAAGTCTTAAATGGTAAATTTCAGATGTAAATACAAAAGTCGATGGAGGAATGTTAATTGCTTTTCCTAAGTTTCTCACATGGCCTAGACATTAGGAGAGGTATCAAGAATTACATTCATAATAATAATGTGCCCAATCCAAAGCTTATTAAAGTCCTTGGAATTTTTCCACAGATTTTAGAAGCCATTGTACGAAAACAAGAAATGCTTTTAAATGTCTAACCTCCAGTACTGTGGAAGTCACTTCTATGCCAAAAATCATATGTGTGATGTCAATAGTCTAAAGTATTGGTTAATTTATAGTTTAAGATTCCTATTCATAGCCAAGAAACTTAAACTGACCTTAAGAACTTATCCAGTTACCCTTTTGAACAAATAAAATTACGTTTGCAGCAACAGACATTTTACACCAATAGATTAGTTTACATAAAAGGAAAACTTACACACCAGGAGAAGCTGCTATGATTGGACAACAAAAAGTGCCAACAAATTGGATCACCAAGAATGTGAATTCTCACATGCCTGTCCATAGCTCAGCAATACTGGTACATTATTTTTGATTCAGCTAGATCAGATTAAAACTTAATTTTACAATTTGATAATAATGAAATGAATAATGTTTGAAACTAATGAAATTCAAATCGGAGTAGTAAGGCTGAAAAAGTCACGATTCGTTTGTCCAAATTCCTTGTTGTAAACCACTTGGAAATGAATATCCCGCTGGAAGAAGGAGCACAGGAAGCAGACCTCAGCAGAAGGTTTTCTTGATTCCCTTAAACCATCTTGTCTTCTGGGAGAGCCTGGAAGAACCATGGCCACATCTCTTCCCATGTCAGTGTCAGGATGCAGGTGGAAGTGGTAGCATTCCATGCAAGCATTTTACTCTGTGTAGATGTAGGAATCACATTGCAGGGACAGCTGTTCCACCAGCAGTCAAAAAAAAAAGCGGAATTTTCACCATCAGAGTCTGCTTGTGACCAAATTGTCGTAACTGTATGTGCAAGGAACAGATTCTTTAAGGGACTGGTAGTTTCCCAGTGCCCCCCAAAAAAATCAAGAAACAGTTTATTTTCTCTAGGAAAGATTCACCTCTATTGCTAGAATGGCTTATTTCAGAATTATGTAGTAGCTTAGGAAGTGTGATGTTTGTTTTCATTTGGTTTGTAGTGAGACAAGTGCCATTGCTTTTCGCAGTGAAAGCCGTGCTGGTACAGGCAGACGTGCTGCTCCAGCGCCAGGTAAAGCAGTTCCACCTCTCCCATGTTTCAGTGTCTGCAGAACCTCCGTGAGCCTTTCTGGGAGAGGGACGTGGGTGTGTGGTGACAGTTCAGCCCCATGGAGAAGCCACCCTGCCAGTCTGCATGAGAGAAGGGCTGAAGGCAGCGTAGACCTGCTCTTTTCTTTCTCTTCAAAGCATTTAACATCCACCTTACGCGCAGTCCGAGGCACGCGATCCGGGACGTGGCTGTGCCTCTGTTTCTTCAGCTGTTGGATGGGGATATTATTATGCTCTTGTCTCAGATGCTGAGAGGGTTAATTAATTATGTTTATGAAACCCTTTGAGATTCTCAGATGAAAGGTGGCTTTGGAATTGTTAGGTGTTATTATAAGAAAAAAGAATGATTTTATTGCTTCGTGTTAATGGTTAACATCTGCACCACAAAACCTGCTTGATCACATAAAGATTCTGCTAAGCATTTAATCCTAATTTGCAGGCTGATGCATATTCATTTTATTTAGAAGATTAATTTAGTCATCAAAGGTTAATCTGCCTCGGGTTTGTAATTAGACAGAGCAGTGACTTGGCGTCTCTGGGCTCACCCAGGTTGCACTGGGTGTTCTGAGTGGGCAGGGCTTTAACTGTCACCACTTTTCACTTCCAGCTAGTGCTTGGAGAAGGCTTAATTTTTGGAGAAAGGGTGAGTGGTAAAAGCCTTGGCCAGTTTGAAGATTAAAAATAAAAGGAGAAGCATGAGCCAATGAACAGTCAATGTAGTGAATCTCAGAATGCTGCTTTAATTCATCTCTGGCAGGTTTACTCAATGCAATGTCAGGGCAATAAACAAGGGATGTTTTTTTTTAATATGTATTTGCAAAAATGATTAAACAGATTTCACAATCTTTGATGTGTGAATCCTACCCCTCTTTCAAAATTACTGATTAGCAGTTTACAGAAAGTGTCTGAAATGAAGAACTGTGAGGCTTTCTGCTGAAAATACCAGATTTTAACTTTTAGCTGCTATTAAGCACAGCTAGAAGGTTATACAATATGACCTGTAGTTGCTTGTACCCCTGAAAATTAAGCCTTTTGTGCTCAAGGTCGGATCCTTTAATCAGAAGCCACTAAAGAAAGTGTGGTCCTTGTGGAGAACAAAAATCGTGTTTCCACTGCAGGTACACCAGAAGGCATCTTTAATTACTGTTTATAAAGCTGGCTGTTACTAAGTGTGAGGGATTATTAGTGCCGTGGTATTGTCCTTTGAAGTGAGGAAGAACAGTAGCTGCTTCTTTGTCATGTCCTCATCTTCTCCCTGTTGCAAAGCAGTCAGGAGGGTGATATCAGAGGGCGTGTGCTGCACACTGCTGTGCCTCAGCACCCTGTTAGGCACTGAGGTGGCCTCCAGACACAAAGTGGGTGATGGGAGGCCAGGGTGACATGGGACGTGCTCATCCTCACTGTCAGTGGGGATGGGGTTGTCAAAGGGACAGCTGTGTGGCTTGGGGATCCAGCTCAGACTGGGTCGGGTATGGGAAGTTCACCGTGGGAGATGAGGCTGGGAAATGGCAGATGAAAACCTCGCAAATGGAAAATTTGTCTTAAAAATAGTGGCTTGCCCAATGTGAAATCAATATGGGCTGCAAAATAAGTACTGTAAATGAAAATCATGATACTAGAATTTAGGAATTTGGCCAAAGTTTTACATTTCATTGCAGCTTGGCTTTGGTTTAGTTCAGAATCCAGATTCTGGGGGGGGGGGGGTGTTAACTTTTTTTTCCCAGTACAGTTCTCACATCTCTATTATGATTTGCCAGTTTTCCCCTCCTCTTTCTGGTGCAGAACCTCAGAAGCATCCAAGAAAGGATTTTGGAGACCATAAACAGTTCTAATTGAGAACAGCCCCAAATCAGCTTAAGTGCCAGCTTGACTATCAGAATATAAATGAAACTCTTTTATTAAAGTGTTGTATTTTAATTATTGTGAAGAACAAGTGGCCTAACGTGAAAAAGCTTTTAACACGGCAGTTATTTGCTTGATAGCTGATAACTTAATTTTGGATGGATGATTACAGCTATGGCTCTTTGTCTTCTTCACTTTCATTTTTATTTGATCTAATGACTGTTCACTGATTTTCATTTGGACTTGAGGTCGACTTCTAATTCAGTTGCTAATAAACTCAGATTGGTTGGGGCCTGTTATTGAAATCAGGTTTTCTATTTCCAGTTTAAAAGGCCAGGGAAGTTTTGTTGGTGTTTTGAAAGAAGTTCAGAGTGTTTTGGACTGATGCTTTGCAAAGTGACTCTTTGCAGAGTGACCCTTTGCTAGTCAACTGTAAGCACTTGTCAGTTTGTTCTTTACAGTGAAGATAACCAGCCATGCAATGAGAGCGTGGGATGGCAATTCACTACAATTGAGGGAAAAAAACCCACCACAAACAGCAAGAATACATGTCACTCTAAGCAGATGCTATAAAAGTTATTGTTACATCATTCAAGCCCTTCCTTTCTAGCCAAGAGACTGAGAGTGGAATTAAACACACACGTTTGCCACAGGTTTTAGAGTATTTATGCTGTTCCAGTCGTCTCCTCAACCTTCACCTTTAGTGTCTTCACTTGCATCTTAATCCTGAGCTGATTTGTGTGAATGGTAGATAGGTACCACTAAAATGGGGATCGTGAGCTTCATCTGTCATCCCTGCTGCTGTATCATTGACTTCAGTGTGCTTCCAGAGGAATGAGTCTGGCCCACAAGAGGATGTGAACTGTCAAGAAGACAAACCTCTTTCTCGTCCATTTGAAATGTTTGTGGGAAAGAATGCCCTAAATATTTAGCAGGTTGTGTAATTTGAGAGGCAATGCAGGTTGTTTTTTTTTTTTTTTTAATTTTAGTTTTCTCCCTACCTTTCCATTTTCTTTATTAAGTAGAGGAAAACCTTGCCTTAGGCCCAGTGTGCTTATGACAGGGAAAAAATATCTGCCAGAATCTCCATTATTACTTGGGCCTGTATATATTGTTATTGCTCTTGTATTTGTAATAGCAAAAGGTGACCGTACCTCTTATGAAAAATTCTGTTTGCAGAAAATACCTTCTTCTCCCCATCTTTTCCAAGCCCAGCACAGTGCATAAAGAATCCAGGGGTGTTTATGTTTATGTTAATGCAGCAGAGCTCAAAGAAACATATATGTAAGGACTGGACATGTGTGCCATAGCTGGGCACTGTAGTGATGTACCCGAGTGATGCAGCTCCTGATGGAATCATGATGAAGCAGAGATGTTTAAAGCCAGTTTAACTATCTCTCCCTTGCATGTTTGGGAATCATTGAAGATGCACAGAGAGCATCAATGAAATCTATTGCAGCCCACCCTGGTTTCTGGTGGACAGAAGACCCACAGTGAAACTTCAGTGCTGCAAACCTCGGATGTCCCCGGTAAGGTCACCTGTTTCAGCACTTCCAAAAGGCAGCCAAACTGATTGCTTGCATCAACCATCATCAAAGATCTTGCCCCTTCATATTTCAGCTGCAGGGAGCTGCAGTGAGTCAGGCTTGGGCGGAGGGGGGAGATCCTCCACCCAGATTGCCAGCTCAAGCTTGCCACCGCTTTATCTTGTGGTCTTAGGCAATGTGTTAAGTTTTGCTTCTGGAAGACCTCAGGGTTAAACTCTCAGAGCAAAAGCACAGCCCATCACCATTCCATACAATGGCTGACTGCTGCCTCTTCAGCCATGTACGTACTAGGACCCCAGAGACACCCATGTCTGCGTGTTAACGGAGCTGTATCACGCTTGATACACAAAAAGACATGGCACAACACTCTTGAGTGATGCTGAGTATGGGAATATTCTCCCTGGGAGCAGGGCCATCCGTGTGTGTGCGTAATTACGAGTTCCCAGTCTAAGTGTCTATGTAAAAGTTCACATTTATACACCATTGAATTAGCATAACACTGTCCACAAATGCAACATTTTAGAGCATTGTTATAATTCTTCCCTCGTGTAGAATGATTCTGAAGCAGGTCCTCGTTGACTAGGATATCTAGGCAGTAGGTCTCTGGCAGTGCTATCTTCCTCTCAAATAGGTGTGCCAGCTCCAAGACTGGTTGCTGGTACCTTCAAAGGGTGAGAAGTCGGCACCTCCTTTGGCTGCCAAGGCTTCTGTGCAACCGAGTGCTCCTCTTTCCCAGCAGAAAGGACTCTGCTTTCTGCCTTTGCTCTTGCCTAAGGGTGAGTTGTCTTTATCACGCTTACCCCGTGGGCACAGGAAGTGATATTATATAAGAAATAATTTTGCAACCCTCTTTCTACTAATCATTGCCACTCCTACCGTAATAACAGACAGATGCAACACACGCGATTCCTGTTTCTATTATTTTTTTTTGCTACAGTTTGCATGTGTTTTCCATTTAATTACAGTATATGAATTTCATATCTCTCTCTTCCCCCCCCTCTTCTTGCATTTAAAATTGCATTTGATATCTGTGATATATAGATAGGCCTGTGGTGAATCGTTTGATGCACTTTACACTCCTAGGTCTGAGTCTCTGTAAATCTCTTAAGTGCTCTGAATATTTTCCAGTTTTGTTGGTGATGCAATAGTATCTGGGATACTATTGTAGTAGTTTCTGCACAAGACAGAAGAGTAGCTTCAGCATTTAAAGAAACTCTGCTTAACAATAGTGACACCAAAACCAGTTATAACCATTTCTGGGTGTTAGGAGAACTCTTTGCACCCCTGTGCCTCAAAACAAATAGCAAAGGACTTTGCAGAGGGAGAAAACTGAGGTGTGTTGTTTAGAGGTGACCAGGATACCATGAACAGAGTAGTGACAGCACTGAAATGAAAACGAGGTTTGTGTGACTGACCTAATCCATGGGAAGTATGTCTTAAAATAATTCAGGCTTGAAGAACTTGTAGTTGTGTTACTCATTGGAGTCTTTCTTTCCCAACCTGTATTACCATGTTTGATTTGAGCATGTTATAATACTTTAAAAAAGAGATTTCAGTGTAAGTTTTACATGAAAGAGGCCAGCTGAAGTAGAGAGGAACATGACTAAATGTTGGTTCCTACTGTATTTTAACCTGAATTAGTGGAAATCTTACTAACAGTGGGCTCTGCCTCCTCTGTAACTTTCCATGTGTTTCAGAAAGAGTTGAATTATCCTGCTATTTATCAAGAAGAAAAGAAGAGCAAAAGATCATTGGTTTAATGGACATGTTTTGGATTTCCACTGGCATCCTAGAAGCAGAATTGTCCCCTGTGGATGTAGAAGTATCATGGTAACTCTCCCCAGGTAATATTCAAGCCTTATTTTTTCTGAGTGCAGGTTCTGATTGTTGTATCTTTTACAGATTGATCAACTGTGTAAATGCCACACGTTTTTAGAACAATGGTTGAATGCCTACTTAGTTCACACATGGCCCACAAAGATTTTGAAGGCTTGATGTACTCTACTGAGTAAATAACTATAAATAAAACAGACTTAAAAAATCTTTAAATGTGCATTATGCCATCAAACTATGCTGTTTGGAAAGAGCTGTGGTGTTTGGGAAAACTTAGACATGTTTTCAACAACTGTCCAAGTACATATTTACACATAGTTTATGATGTACACAAAGCTATGTCCGTGGAAGCTCTTGGGCCCCAGCAAGCTTTATTAATTATTATTAGAATACAGTATTTTCAGTCACTTAAACACTACAAATGGACAGGAGACAGCTAATCATAGGGAAACATGCTGATTTCAAGGGAACTTGCAACTTGCTTCTCCCACAGCCATCAGTAGAAAATGGCAAAATATTGATATGGGATGTATGGAATACACTGTGTGGGGAGGGAACAGAGATTTGTAGTTCATATAGGTACGTTTTAGTTCCTGTTTGTTCAGCCAGGTGCTGAGAGGTCACTTGGTTAGACCAGCACTAAGGCTCTTCCCACTGAAGGTGTTTTTCGTTACTTTTATGCCATCTGTGACCTGCAGATATTTTGGTATTCTGGATTCCCTAGATACAGAATAGTAGATGCTTTCAGTATCCTAATTCCTGTTCAGTTCATGAGGAGCAGAGTCTGTGGGCTTCTGGCTTCGTTGTTTAACAGGGCTATAGTTTGATACTTGAAAGACAAAATTTCTTTAGATAAGAGAGTTCAGAGTAAGGACCTTACTTTCCTGCTTGCCTGTGATGTTATCAAGCAATAATCCTTGTTAAGTAAGGATTAATGTTCAAACATGATCAGGCTGATGAAACATCTTTTTGGCTGCAGAGGAGATCTGGCAGAGTCTCTCCTTGCCTGCCTTTGGATCATTTTATACACCTCGTTCACACGAGCCATTTTACAGTGGGTCTGTGGGATCATCAGCTTCTCCCACTACCACTGAGGGACATCTTGGACTGAGGTCTCACCTGCATCTAAGAATAATGCCCTACAAAAGCATCTTTTAGTTGTAAAGCTCTGGGACAGAGTTCTCTGAGTCTGTATCAGCTGGAAAGTCATTTTGCATTTCGCAAAGTTGTTTTATCTCATGCTAGAGAGCTCCTGTCTTAAGCAGTCTTTTCCTAAGCAATCCTCTTAGTGTTCCTGTGAGAGGTGGCTATATTTTAAATACTGTAAATCAATCTGTTGTCCATCTCTCATGGACAACTTGATCAGACCCCATGGGGCAAAGTTAATAGAGCCTTGTAATACCTAAAAAGCCCCTTTACAAGCAGCACCATTTACTTTCCAGTTGTGCTGCTTATTTGCCTATTCCCATCTCTGTGCAAAACTTTCTAGGTACTCTGATTTCTTTATCTGACTTGTTAGGAGTGAACATGGCCCTTAAGGACTCCTTTATTTTTGGATAGTTGTCAATTTTGCCAATTAAAAGAACGCCTTTGGATAGTTATCAGAAGCTGGAGCTGAAAACGTGTTCGCAATTACTGATGACATAGCTGTTTCTATTTGCTGCTCTCTCTTTTAATTCCAAAAAGTGATATTTTTTTTGGCAGTAGATATGAGAAAATATGTCACTGTGTATAATTACAAAATGCTGTTCATTTCTGTCTTGTAACTGTGGGGGGTTAGTTGGTACAATACATTTGGTTCATTCTTGGCTCACTCAACTGCATGACACACGTTTAAGTGTATTATTAATTGTCATGTTAATATTCATTACCATGTTAATTTCCATGGAATCATATAATTCTGCATGCCTCCAAATTGATGTTCAAGGGTATATGCAAGCATGAAAAAAACCCACTGAATGATTTCCTAGGACGTGGTAATAAACCTTAAATAAAATCACGTTCTGGACATTTTCCTCCAGGAGACCTGGGCTTTTTCAACAGGTTTTACCCCACCACGATACTTGCTACAAAAACAAGATTCATCCCTGGGAATGGGCTTTGTACAAAGCTGCTTTAAATGTTCCTTATGCTTTCAACCAGAGTCAAAATACAAATCCACAGTGCTGGCTTTACTTTAATTTCCTAGGTTGCATCTGCCATCTCATCAGAGCAATCTGACTGTACAGTGCACTGAAGAAACTGCATAATATTTCCAGTGGCTTGGATTTTTCACTTGATATATAGCAAATATATGAATAATGGCTGAGTAAGTATCCGTGAATTTTTCAGTAGAGTGTTTTGCAAGGGAAAGTTCAACAAGAAACAGCAACTTGGGAACTGAAAATTTGTGGGATAAGAGTTGAACCTCATTCTGAGCAAAAACGTGTGTTGCCTGGGGATTTAAAGAAGATTGATAGAAATATTTTGGGCTTAAGCTCCTGTTAGCACAGACCATCTTACCTGAAGCCTGGTGAAATCAGTGAGAATTTTTGATTGATTTTGAATATGTATCAGACATCCAATGGATGTGGCTGTAAATGAGAGAGGGCACATAGTGCCTGAAATGCTCTGTTTTTCCAGGAAATAGGCCCATCCAACTTAAACTTACCCATTCCTGAGAACACCTTTGATCACAAGGCACTGCACCTGCTGCAGTTTGTAGATGGGTGGGTTCTCTTCTCTAATCCTGGTGAAGTTTTAAGAAGTTTCAGATAGATACATTCATTATCCACTTTTACTTCTCTTAGAGAACATAAAGGCTTGGGCAAGAGAGAGAAGTTGGTTTTAGGCTGTTACCTTGGCTGGTGTTACTCTGAAGGAGTTGTAAGGGCAATGACATGAAACCAGGGTGGGGTCAAAGCACTGAACATTTTATTGTAGCATAAGAATAGCTCCCTGCCAAAGTCCTTGTAGAGCAATGTATTTCAAGGTCGTGTGTTTCACTCCACAATCATCTCAAAACATGCTTGTAAATAAATTGTATGAGCTTAGCTCTGCTGTCATGACACTTTCCCCTAAGTAAATGCCAAGGCTACTGTGGATAAAATTCCACTGACTAAGGAGGTCCACACCTGAACAGCCTTACAGCTGCTCTTCTCAGCTGGGATTTAGTAGTCCAGGTTCTAGGTGGCAGCAAAGCCCTTCTCAAGCCCTCTGAGCCGTGTGGGGCACACCTGCCCTCGGAAATGAAGTGCAGAGATACCTGAGTTACTTGTGGACAGGCCAGCCCTGGAAGCAGAGCTGGAAAAGCAGGGCACTGCTGCACTGACAGGTCCCTGCTGCTGCTGGGGCTGAGCTGCTGGCTGTGCAGGGCTGTGGAGACACAGCTGCTTCTCTGAGGTAGCCTGTTTATTTGGGCAGGAGTTGCATATTTTTCTGTGCTGCAGCTTCACTTCCCAGGATAGGACTCTGCTGCACTGTGGCTTTCTGTCTGGTGATAATATGAGCAGTTTCAGGCACAGAGGAACTTTTACCAAGCACTTGTGTATTGCCTGGAACAATTAGAGACACCAGCACACTGCTACATTATCATCATCATCATTATTATAATCAACAGGTTGTATTCAAAAGTCATGTCTTGTTTTAAAATACCAGACCTGTTTGAACACAGGCATTTAACCTAAATTAACATATTGATAATATGTTACGAAAGATGTTTTGAAGTTCTTTTTAGGCAGAAATTGACATTTTTTCTGAAAATGGTAATGGAAAGAAAATTGTGTAGTCCAGCAAAGTATATCATTTAGACCTGATGATAGAATAATTGTTTTCCATCAAGCAAACCAAAGAAGAATCCATAATAAAATTTTACAAGTTAGCTGCCATCAAGAATAAACTCAAGAGCACTATATGAAATGAATTGTGTGTTTTAACTGAATCTTCTCTCAGGACAATAACTCTAATGTAGAGCCAAGGTCTGAGGAGGTCACCTGCAGAAAAGCCTCCTGGGGCATTTCAGAGGAGAAAGGAAATATTCTTCTCCCTGTCAGGTTCACTTCGTGTCCTAATATGTCTGAGGATGTGCACTGAAAACATAATACAGATCCACCATTTCGAGTTGGAGTTTAGATAACAAGGGTCATTAAGAAATCTCTGAGGATGACAAACTTAACCCTGTATGAACTTAAGGATCATACCCTGCTACTAATACGAAGAGTAAGTCTGGTTGATTGTAATTGTGACTGAACTAAAATGTCACTTACCATTAGGATCAATTTCTCCTTTTTTTTTTTTCTTATAGCATTTCTCTAAAAATAAAAGTGTAAGATCATAACAGGCATCTATTGAGCATAGTCTGTAGTGATCTGTTCCAGTACTGTATGAGAGAACATCTGGATCTCCATATGTTTCCGAATACTTGCCATATCTCAGATTATGTTTGCAGGACTGGGGTGTGGTAATTCAGTGCAGGATCCCAAATTAAAATACCTATTGAGAAACCTCAGCATTTGTCATCACAGGGATCTAACTCCACGACTTCTGCTGAGGCCCTTCGGGTAAACCGGGGTGTATCATGACTCCTCCTGAGCACAAAGGATGAGGTGTGCTCTCCAAAGAATGTGCAACACTCCTGCTCTGAATACCCACAGGTGCTGCTGGGCTCTCAGCACACTGGCTGTTCCAGGGTGGGGTGCTCCAAACGTGTTTTCGGGGATTCCCATGTTAGCTGTGTGGGAATGTTTGGATGTTGGTTTGTTAGGGTGGTCAGACAGTGGTCACGGCACTAAGCCTGGCAGAGTTCAAGAAGCATTTGGACAACGCTCTTGGGTGCATGGTGGAATTTTTGGGGTGTCCTGTGCAGGACCAGGAGTTGTACTTGATGATCCTGATGGAGCAGAATATTCTGTGATCCTGTGTGCCATAGACAGTGGGGAGATTTGAAGTTACCCTGCCAGTGACAGTGCGAAAAATTTCTGACTGTTGGCACCATAAAAATCATTCCCTGAGCATTGTCAGACCTTTATCACAATGGCCCAATTTATCCCTGTTGAAGCATGGAAACCACTCTAAATCCCCTTGCCCAAATCCCCACGCTCCATCCTTACAGGCATGCCTTTAAGCCTTGAGCTTCATGTAAATTTTTATAGCTCCATTAACTGGGATGTCATCAATTTGAACAATTACAAATTACTATGATATTAAAGTATCCAAGCAGTACTTGCCAGAAGTCATCAAGGATTGGAATTATCATATTCCTTGCTCTCCAGTCGTGCTGGGGCTCCTCACTTGGTTCCTGTGCCCCTTGCATCAGGGAGCTGGGGTGTCAAAGATCTCATTTGCATTTTAGCTTCCTTGGACTCCTAAAAGTGGAGGAGCTCGTCTAAGCACAGAATTTCAGTATATTGTGTTTATTTAAAGGGATTTAGGCACTTAAAGAAAAAGCTGGGTAGATAGAGACCAGCTACAAGGATTGTGGATGAATTTTTCTTAGCTCTATTCCTAACTCAGTTCAGTTTGGTGAGGCTTTTTGGCTTGCTAAGCTCTGGAAAACTTTTATTCTTAATAAAAAAAAAAAAAAAGAAAAAAGGAAAAAAAAGATAGATCCCTTGGGTATCTTTCCTGAGCAAGAAGGATAGAAGGAGCCTCCTTTGCTTTACAGGACACTCAACTTTTTGTGGCCATGTGTCAGTAATCTGTTACATCTCTGCATTACTGAGCTGGTGTTGGGGTGCTGTGTACAAAAAAGCCGTCCCCTTTCTCCTGGGATCAGGATGAATTTTCATCTCATCAGATTATTTTCTCAGAAGCTTTTTTTGATTCCTGATGATTGGATGTACTGGCTTTATAACTTTTTTCCCCCACTTCTTTTTATCTTGGTTTGGTCACAGGACACAGTTATATTAATTCTTGGAGTGGTCCAATCTGTAGTATCTAACTGAAGCCAGCATAGTTTCTTTGGGATGTTAATAGCCACATAGTCACCAGGGAGGGACAAATCTGAGTCCCTGGGAGACAGGAAGCCCTGCTTTATGGAGGACTTGAGGTCTTGCAATGAAATAGACTCAGACTAACCCTCCTCTCAGTGCGATAAATCAGGAGTGATTTCCTTGAGCTAAAAAGGGGTCGCAAAGAGATAAAAGTAGTGACAGGAGAATCATTGCCCTTCTCTCTTAAGAGCAGGCAGTTGGTTAAATTCCTTTGCTCCTCAGATAGTGTTGAATGTCATGCAAGTGATCAGTTCAGTCTGTGGGGAGTGGGATACAATCAGGATGCTAATGTGCTGGGAGTGCAGCTGTTTCTTCCTCAGTGTCACCCCTGCTTTGACTCACCTTTGCTGCCAAAGTACTTACTCACTGCTCTTCATTTGTAACTCAGATCTATACCTACACACATTTGTGACTGAGATTTGTAAGAGACAATTTTATGCTTGAAAAGGGAGAATTACTTCACAGCTATACCTGTTGCCTGCGCAACTGCTTGACAACCTCGCAAGAATTCCTTTCACTCTGTGCCTCTGGTTCCCTTTGTCAGTAAGAAACAGAATGTGTATAGTTCTAAGTGCTGAAAATCAAATACTGACGTGATATATTAACTTCTTCTCCCCCCCCTCCCCCCATGTTCTAAATATGGCTCTACTTTGAAATTAAGTGCAGTACAGAATATTCGGTTGCAGCACATTGCTGGCATACAGTTTATAAACTGTTAGTGTTTGGCAGCCCTTGGTTTTTAAATTCCTACCGATCACAAGTAGCTGGCACTAATCAGCTCCAATAGAGTTATGGTACTGTGTACCTTCTTAAATGGCTGGAGTGGAGATATACATCTAAAACCCCATATATAATAGCCATATGTCAGAAACACTTTACTCTGAGCAGGGTTTTTATTTTACTTTTTACATCTCTCACATTTTACATCTGGTTCAACAGTTCTGAAGGAAACTACATCTGATGTGATAGCAGGAGATCTATATCACACATCTCAAAACCTACCAGAAATGCAATTTAAATATAGTTTTGGACAGAGTAAAAGAAGTATTATTGGTATCAGATGTTTGGGCAGTGAGAACTTGAGCTCCATCTCTCTGCTTGATTTTTTTTTGTACAGAAGGAAATCATAATGTGAAATCCTAGTTCTGCTAAAACTTGTGAGAGCTTTACCATTGATTTCAGTCACCAGTTTCACCTTGCAGCTGTGAAGTACCTGCCAAGTTCAAGCAAAACTGTATAGCTGGAGCAGCAAAGGCAGATCTGCATGTGGCCTTTTGCAGAGATGAGCAGGGTTTGGACTCGTTTCAGTGGGGATAACAATCACCTGTACCATGTCACA